TTCTTCTTCTTCTTCTTCTTCTTCTTCTTCTTCTTCTTCTTCTTCTTCTTCTTCTTCTTCTTCTTCTTTTTTTTTTTTTTTTAAAGTTAGGATTTCTTGTAGTTCAGGCTGGCTTCAAATTCATTATGCATTCAAAGCTGGCCTTGAACTCCTGATCCTTCTGTTGCTACTTTCTATTACATTTTTTTTCATTCTTGCTTTTTAATTATTTCTGAACTGTTAACGATTTAACTAGTTTTGAATAGTTACCATTGGAGGATGGAGAGATGGCTCAGCGGTTGAGAGCAGAGGATGTTCTTCCAGGGTACCTGGATTTAATTCCCAGTACCACATGGCAGCTCACAAGTGTAACACCAGTTCCAGGGAATATGACAACCTCTTCTAGCCTCCACAAACTCCAAGCACACATAATGATGCCCAGACATACACGCAGGCAAAACGCCCGTACACATAAAATGAAATAAACAAATTTAAAAAAAGCTACTACTGATAATTCGTTTGAAGAATAAACATAACGAGAGAAAGAAACTTTTTAAGTATCAGGAAAGGATATAATAAGGGTTTTCTAGCAACAGTGAAGCCATTCGGGCCTCCTTAATCATTGGACGAGCCATGAGAGTTCTGCGCCTCCAGTAGTGCTAAGGAAAGAAGGATGAGACACTTAGAATACAACAGGGAAGTGCTGAAGAGAAGCACTAAGGAGTTTCGGGACTGACGTGCTATGATGTCACAAGTCTTACATGGTCTCCTGTTCCAGCCAAATGAATGCACACAGGTCTGTATCTGCTATTCCATTCCTTAGGCACGATAAATTGGAACCTATAAAAAAAACAAAATTTTCTTTAAAGAAAATTAACTAAAAGATATACGTACATATATATTCATGTATATGGTTTTTTAAGTTATTTATATGTTTAATCAATTCATGGAGAGGATCATACCGTTATATAATTCAGGCTGGCCTGGAACTTTGTAGCTTAGGCTGGCCTCCTACCTTAGCATCCTAAGTGCTAGGATTACAGGTGTGAGTCATCATGCCAACTCTAAACTTCCAATTTAAAAAGTATTATAATTAAGTACTCTCTCTGTCTCTGAAAGGATGGGCCAGTGGATTTACATTTACTAACTTATATAGGAGTTCTTTTCTTCCACCATGTGAGTGCTAGCAATTGAACACTGTTTGTCAGACTTAACAAAGTGTCTCTATCCACTTGGCCACCTTTCTGGCCTAGAATTTAACTATCTTGAAAAAAATATTTAGAATTTTGATACTCAATTTTGTAACTATGTGTCCAAAAGCTACAACAAAATTATAAGCCTAGTTTCTCTCAGAAACAAAAACATGAAAGCCTGAGGAAGACTTAGGAAGATTAGGAATTTTCTAGGACAGGGAAGGGAATGAGAATATTGGAGGATAGAATGATGGAAGGAACACTGTATTTATGAATGAAACTGCAAAAGAATTTTAAAAAATTAACAATTGAAAAAAGAGGAAATTACCTATGATACCACAAATGGGAAGGAAAACAACAAATGGACTGTAGCCACGAAAAACTTTTAGCATAGTCTGGACATGGATTTATTTAATGTGTCATGGTGTTATTGTCAGAAAAAAAAAACTAAATAACTTTTCTCTACAAAAATTGAACAGTGGGGCTGGGGGTAGAGTTAAGAAAGTAGATAAGCTAAGCACCATGAGCAAGGTCCTAGGTTCAATCCCAAGTCCCACAAAAAAAAGTATACTTACAAACTAAACATATATGTATACACACACACACACACACACACACACACACACACACACACACACACATACACACACACCTTTTAAAAAAGAAACTGGAAAGATGGCTCAGCCGTTAAGAGTACTTCCCGCTTTTCCAATCAGTCCTAGCAAGCATACACATCCTGGGTAGTGGAGAGCTCACAAACATCAGGATCTCTAACTTCTGGGCATCTGAAAACCTCTTCTGGCCAACATAAGCACCTACAAACATATACTCTCACAAACAAATACATACACACACTTAAAAATTCTTTCTAAAAAGGAAGAAGCTGAACAGTTGTTCTGAGGATATGGTAGGACATTTGCTTGCTTGGCATGTGCAAGGCTCCAGGTTCAATCCTTAGTACTGCAAATTAATTATTTAAGAAAGGAAAGGAATCTAAGGAAAAGCAGGCTTCCTAACATGGCCTTTGTGTCTGGAATCAACTCTTCCTCATTCTTGTGATGGGACAGGGAGCTTTCCTGATTCAGCTGCCTTAGTAAGAGCAAATTTACCAGATGGCATACATATCTTAAGTACTAAGAACTCAAAGTCAACTTCACTATTCAGGACAATTAAAACTTCACATAATGAAGAAACCAAAGCCAAGCATCTATCCATCTATCTATCTGTCTATCTATCTATCTATCTATCTATCTATCTATCTATCTATCTATCTATCTATCTAT